TGAGTAGCAGCAAACAGGCAACAGTCGGCAGTCCGCCTTCACGCTTTCAAAACCATGTAAATAAGGGAAAGAGAGACGGAGCAACGGCAGCCGGGAACCCACATGGCGTCACATGGCCAGGCCGATCGCGCCGGCCACCAACTCCCGCCACTTTTTTGAATTCGCTTGCGCACAGACTAACCGCGGTCGCTATCCCTAATCCTTTGCCATTGAAGGTATTTAGTTAATACTATGAAATATTTACTTAGAAAGATGATAATGATCATTTGGAGAAATAAACAGCGCTTTTTTTATCTTGCGAGAACTGTGGGTGTTTCCAACCACACTGTCATCTGGTGACATTACATAACATTCCCGGCCCATTGCGTCACCTGTCAGCTGCCACCTATCGCCAGCCTCCCAGGGATACAACAGCCTCGCGCTAAAGTGATCTAGACAAAAGGGTATTCTTCGAGAGGGACACGGCCATCCCCGTGGAACAGAAGCAGGCCTGTGACGAGGTCCTTTCCGTTCCTTCGAGTAGAAAATCCCCGCTGCAGAGGAATGGGTTATCCCGCCGGTCTCAAGGCCAAGCTGGAGTCGCACCCTGCCGCAATCTCCTAACAATAGCGCAAACAATCAACATTCTCCTTCCCTGTTTACGAACTGATCTGTCAAAATTACACCATTCGTATTTTACAAAAGCACCTGAAAACGCAAAACAAATAATTAGGATTAGAACGCGTTGGAAAAGCGTAAAACAAAGTAAAGTGAAAATTATCGGGCCATCACTAGCTCCCACCGGTGTTTGCGAGTAAACACAGGTATGCTACGGCGCTTACCTGGAACCCGGATATTACTCATCAGTTTTCGTGAATATTTTAATTAAAATAACCTGCTAGCACTTTGTCAATTAAGCTAAGTTAATATATAAATGCAAGTAATTCTGTCGCTTAAACTTCCCGCATTTTCAGTTGTAGATAATGTTTTTATGCGATATCGAGGGATCACGCTACTTGGCAACACTCCAGCAACGTTTGCAGTAATTGCACGGGAACGAACATTCACTTTCGTTTATCTTTTACCCGTTCACTTCGTCGATTTGCAACGCTGCATGAGTTCTGATTACAACAGATATTTACTTTATGGCATGAGAATAAATTGCGGGTTGCCTCGTGCTTCGCTTGAAACTGCTTGCTACAAAACAAGTTTCGGGCAGATTTACATAAAGGATTAAGAGAAGAGGACTGGACATAAGTTTGTTTTTTTTTAATCTGCACATTCTGACTGTAGGATATATTCCATGAAAAAGAATCAAAATCGTTCTCCTGATAATGAAAACCCAACGCAATGACGAGGAAAGGTAACAAAAGGGAGGAAGGCGAAATGGCATCACGACGAAGCAAATACACAAAACGTGGGCATTCAAAACACGACTGAGGTTAAATTTGATATTCAACGTGTGGAGACGAAAGGCATCTATGTGTCCTTGATGGGGTCACCTACCCACGCCATTCACTCGCAACTCGTCAGGTACCTACTGGCCTCGCGAAGGCGAAAATGAAACCAGGTTAAACTCGAAGTGAGAGAAAAAGCGAAACCGCAGGACTTTTTGCGTACACTTCCTTCCGAGGCCGAGCTTAACCGCCTCACATACAGACGGTAAAAAAAACGGTCTAAAAAAACGATCGTCGTATCACGTGCTTAACTCTACGCTCTCTGCTTTAACCAGGCTTGAACCTTGGCAGTGAGTTCGCCAAGGCTCGCGACCCGTCCCAGCAGCGTGCCCGAACAGGTGGGCAGACGGACGAGCTCCTGCTGTACCGGTATTTAGTTCATGGTCGCTACTGCGCACGCGTCTTTCACTCGGAAGAACAGCATGCAAAGTGATCGTCCTACTTAAAAAGATACTTTCTAACGCCAAGTTCACTATTATAACAACAAATGAATCTGTTTTTATGCGTGAGTGTTTTTCGATGTTGCTAAACCAGTCACGCAAGGTGATTGATTGCTTCTTTCTTTTCGTTCATTTCATTATCGCTTGGCATTTTCTAATCAACAGTTAATTCTAAATTGTGTAATAAATCCTCCCCTTACTGTAATAACTTTACATGAAGCAAATCAATCCAATTAAACTCTACTCAGTAACTTCAGTTTTTCATTTACTAATTCCACTTATTATTCCTCACTTGAAATATATCCTGATAGACATACGTATAAACAAAAACAATAAAAATACGAGATCTGAGTGGTGCGAGTTAATCTATACCGTATCATATTTCGCTGATGAAAAGGGTAATCGAATACATGAAAAGGTATCAGCGTTAATCAAACGCGGCACAACTCTACCCAGAGAACCCAGGGCGTTTTAGGACACCGAGACAAAGCCCCAAAATCATCTCTTGTTTCTTTCTCCCACACCATCACTGAGTGGCTTGGGACACCCACACAAGACACACCACCTACACCCTCCTCCACAAGCTAGCACATAACAAGCTATTCACAGATCTAAATCACTCAC